CGGCGCCGCAACAGGGGAGGTGCGATCGGGGCGGGGCAGCCTGTGCGTCGCACCCAGAGGAGGGCGGAAAGGCGGGAGACGCCATCTTGGTATGGGGCAGAGGAGCTCTTCTTAAAGCGCCAGCGCTCCATCCCGCAGGGGTTGGGTGAGGGCGTTCGGCGAGCGGGAGCCATCCTTAAATATGGGGGAGAAACAGGAACTTTTGTGCGTGTCTGCGTGTGCCCCGCTGTGTCTGACCCACCGGCGGCGTGTGAGGCCCGGGTGTCACGCCCGGGAGCTTCAAGGAGCGGCGGCCGCTTTAAGAGCAGCGGGGCGGTGGGAGCGGAGGGGCGGGGCGTCGATGACGTCACCGCATGACTGTGTTTTTATGAATGAAAAGAATCCGCGGGTGAGTAATCGCGGGGAGCGGGGTTGGAGGCGTCGCCCGACGGCACGACCCGGCAGCGGCCCCGCGGCACCAGCGCAGCCCCTCGGTAATTACGGGACGGGATTCGGAGGGGAGAAACACCCCCAGGGTGCTCCCTCCGCGTCCGGCTTCACCCACCCCACTCCCCCCGCGCGGGGTCTGGCACGGGCTGGAGGCCGCTGCCCCGCCGCCCGCATCGGGACGGGGAGGGATGGGATGGGATGGGATGAGGGGTGTCCGTGCTCGGGATCATCCGCGCTTCCCTCCCGCCTTCTGGCCACCGCCCCGCAGAGAGCCAACGCGGCTCCCCCGGCTCCGACGGCGGCTCCTCGGCTCGGATTGCATCAGCTTCCAGCCCGCCCGGCTCCACCTTTCCCGCCGCCCCCCCCCCAGCCCCTCACCTCCCCGGCCCGGCCCCCATCGCCCCTCCGGGGGTCTGCTAGCGCGGAGGGGGCGCCCCGAGGCGGGGAGCGGCTACCGAGCTGCATCCCGGGCTCCCGGCCCGCTCCCCACTCTCCTAAACTCAGGGAGCGGAGGGACCGGCCGCCGGCGAGGGGACAAGCGCCGCTTCCTTGATTTTCCCCCTCCCGGGCTGCTGAATCACGGGGAGGCCGCGGTCCCCGCCTTGCGCCCCTCGAGCCCGTGGACACCCGGCGCTGGGATGGCGATTGGGAGCCGCAGTGCCCACGCCCGCGGAGCCCGCGGCAGGTGGGGAGGCACCTCGGCGCGGGTCCCGGCTGCGTGGCTTAGCCCCTGTTTTGCACCGTGGGGCTGCTGCTTTTACTTTCCTTTCAGCCCTGGGCGGATCTCACCCGGATTTCCTCCCCGAGAGGAAGCCTCAGGCGCTCCCTTTCCCCGGCAGCCGGCTGGGGCATTTCGGGTCCCCCGGTCAAAGCAGCATCCAGACCGCCTCGGGGTGGGATGAAAAGTCCAGCCTTCCCCCGTGACTGTTATGTTTTGCAGTCATTATTACTATCATCATTGTTGTTGTTAAGTACTGTTAAAGGAATAGGGATGAGTTCTGTGGCCGGCAGTGGGGACATGGGCAGGGGGCAGCAGGGCTGGTTCCCTCTGTGCCGAGGTGAGTGGCACAGGGCTGGCAGTAACCAGCTTTTCTCCTGATTGCTCTGCAGGGCCAGTGTGAGGCAAGGATGGCTGCCGATGGACTTGCCAGCAAGGCCCTAAAGGTGAGCGCTAGAGGAATGAGGGGTCTAGGGGTAACGGGGTTGGTTTTGGGAGTCTCAGGTGATGGCCTCTCTCTCTGGCAGGTGAAGCGGGAGCTGGGGGAGAACACGCCACTCCTGTCAGATGAGGAGCTGATGGGGCTGTCGGTGCGGGAGCTCAACCACCACCTGCGGGGCCTCTCCAAGGAGGAGGTGGCGAGGCTGAAGCAGCGCCGGCGGACGCTGAAGAACCGGGGTTACGCCGCCAGCTGCCGGGTGAAGCGTGTGTGCCAGAAGGAAGAGCTGCAGAAGCAGAAGATGGAGCTGGAGTGGGAGGTGGACAAGCTGGCCCGGGAGAATGCTGCCATGCGTCTGGAGCTCGACACCCTCCGCGGCAAGTACGAGGCCCTGCAGGGCTTTGCCCGCACTGTGGCTGCCCATGGCCCCCCTGCCAAGGTGGCCACCGCCAGCGTCATCACCATCGTCAAGTCTGGTGCCAACCAGGCCGCCTACTCCTAGTGCTGGCCTCCATTCCCCGGCCTGGCACAGTCTTCCCGGGGTGCCTTCCCCCACCAGTTGCCTCCCACCCCTTCCCCAACCTCCTCCCTGCCAGGACCTGTGCCTGAAATCCTCCTTCTCCCATCCCTTGACCTCCAGCTCCCCCACGTGGGGGGGGGGGGCTGCTGCAGTTTGGGTGCTAGGGTGGAGGACAGGACCCCATCAGTGAACCCCAAAGCCCTGCAGCCCTTTCCCCTCTGGGGGCACAGGCAGAAGAGTGTGAGCCTGTGCAGGCAGCAGTGGGGAAGAATCCCACGGCTCCAAGCTGGCAGGAAAACCCCAAGCGCCTCATTTCTTTGGGGAAGGCATGGGAGAGCCGAGCATGGGCCAGGCACTCCCAGGAGCATGTACCAGGATGGGAAAGGCAGGGAGGGAGCAAGGGATAGAAGGAATAGGATGGAGAAAGGATATCACCATTAGCCCCAGAATTTGGACCCTGGCTGGAGCAGGGGTAGAGGTAGCAGCATGGTTGAGAGTCTAAGGATGGAGGTGGTGAGGGAAGGTGACGTGTCAGAGTGTAAGAGAAAGTAGCTGCAGGTTGGTGGCTGGTAAGGGTAAGCAGGATGGGAAAGTGCTGTGGCAGCCTGCGGTGCTGCAGAGGTGATGGTGATGAAGGAAGGCAGGGGAAAGCTGGGGGATGTGAGTGGGAGAAGCAGTGGTACTGGTTTATCTTTCTCCATCATGCACATCCTTCACGCCTCTTCCTGCCTATGGGTTGCTCAGCCCAGCTGGGTGTCTCCAAAATGCAGCAGCACTGGCAGGAAGGAAGTGGAGGCAGCTGGAGCAGAGATAAACACTGTTTTGCTCAGCACAGGCCAGCTTGCACTGCCCCACCAAGCGCTCCCCAGTTCCCCACTGCCAACAAAGCCCATGCAAAGGTGCTCCTGACCCCTGAGAGCCAGAGCTGTGGAGGTGGAGGTACAGGAGGTAGGAAGCAGGCACAGAGAGCATCTGTGCTCCTGGGAGCTGCCTGGCAGGCAGGTAGGCTCCTGCCCTTGATTTTCCTCCAGCTTGGACACCCATGTGGGACAACCAGCTTCTTCCACAGGCTGAAATGCTGCGGAAGAGTTGTTTGCTAAATACAGGCAGCACGGGGAGGTAATGGGAGGCAGACCCTCAATGGCATCTGCTGCTGTAGATGATCCCCCCCTTTCTGCCCTTCTGCTCACGCCAGCCATCCTTGGTTGCAGCCTCCATCCCCTCCCCAGAGAGAAGTGCCCACCACTGGTGGAGGGGGCACTGTGGTTCGCACACCCCCACCCTGACTCCTCTTGGGTTTATTTATTGCACGAACATAAGTTATTTTCACGTCCTCTTTGCCATTCCACCTCTCGGCACAGCCAGGATGTTGGTACAGAGCCGTACTTTATATTTTATATATACAAATCACATTTTATCTTATATAGAGAAAAAAATATACTTATTTATTTTCTGACTTACAGTACGTGTCCTACCTGACTCCTCTGTATTTTGTAGACTTTACAAATAAAGCAAGTTCTTTGTCGTTGGGTTTTTTTTCCACAGCAAGAGTGTGTTTGGTCATTCTGAAACTTGAGGACAGAGCTGTCTCTGTGAGAGTGGCTTTCTGGCTCCCTCTAGCTTTGCTGCAGGATGTGCTCAAGAACGTACCTGAAAGTAGATGGGGCTGGGGGGCAGCTTATGACTTTTTAGAGCAAACACAGATTATTAGAGTCACAGGCTGGTTTGTGTTGGGGAAGGGACCTTAAAGCTCACCCAGTTCCAACCCCCTGCCACGGGCAGGGACACCTTCCACTAGGCCAGGTTGCTCCAAGCCCTGTCCAGCCTAGCCTTGAACACTGCCAGGGATGGGGCGGCCACGGCTTCTTTGGGCACTGTGCCAGGGCCTCACCACCCTCGGAGGGAAGAATTTCTACCTTATATCTAATCTAAATCTCCCCGCTTTCAGTCTAAAGTCATTCCCCCTTTTCCTGTCACTATATGCGCTTGTAAAAAGCCTGTCTCCAGGTTTCTCATAGGCCCCCTTTAGGTATTGGAAGGCTGTTACAAGATCTCACACGAGCCTTTTCTTCTCAAAGTTTATAGGCTCTGGAAGGGCTCAGGCAGCCAGCTGATAATCATCCCCCAAAGCTTTTGCTTTCAGGAGCAGTTTGGCTGCAGTGAATCTTGTTTCCTAAGAAAGATAATGCTTTTCACTAGAAAAATTCCTTCCAGGCTGCCCTTGCACCTGCTGCAGGAGGAGAGACAGGTGACATCAGAGCAGCCCTCCCCAAAACCTCCCCTGCAGGGTGACCTCACCAGCAAGGAGGAAAGCAGAGAGCTCATGTCTGTGGGTGGCAGGAGAAGGGGAAGGAAGTGTGGTAGGTGCCTTACCCAGAGGTGAAGCTTGACATCCTCCCAAGGGGAAAAACCTGCCTTTCCTTGGAACAGAAGTAGAAGTGATGAGCATGTTCCCTGATGCTGGGTCCCAGCCTGCCAGCATCTTGGAGTGCTCACATAGTGGTTCCAGGTTTTATGTTCATATTCCTTCTGCTACTGCAAACTGCCCCAGCCAACCACTGCTCACAGAAATACAACACGGAGCTGCTGCTTGCTGGAACCTATGTCAGAGACAGCAGCCCTCTTTCTCCTAGAGGTGTTTCACACTGAGCATCCCAAGATCAGGATCCATCTGTGCTCCAGGGTTTCGACAAATACGTTTTGCTTCTGCCTTGGGCCGTCAGTGACATCTCAGCCCCAGGCTGGTATAAGGGCTGCTTCATTGCATGAAGGTTCCCTCCCTAAAACAAGACTAGAAGGACAAGACCCACTGAGCCTCAGCCCCTGCAATAAGCAAAAGCTCAAGCTCGCTTCAGAGAAGCCATCCAGACAGCACCACGCAGAGGCAGCTTAAGTACAATCTATATTATCTCTATATTTTTATTTGTCATCATATTTGCTCATTTCTGCAGAGTATAATGTCACAAAGACCAAAATAGAGAGAGCGGCTTGTCGCTGAGCTCACATCAGTTAAACACAATAGGTACAAAACTAGGTGACTCTGTCTTATTTATCATACTTTTTTTTTTTCAGTCATTTATATACAAAGAACTACTCTATATGGAAAAATAATAAACAAATCCCATGGCTATGTTACATGGTAAACAAAAAAGGAAGGAAGGAAGGAGAGGGGAAGCAGGTGAGGGACAGCAGCTCCAAGGGCTTATTCCTGGAACCAACAGATTTGTTGGGGCCCTGGGCTACTGCAAGCAGACCTGAAAGACCATGGATGCCTTGGCCACCTTGGTCTCAAACTCCGGGTCTTCTACTTGCTCCTCCAAGTCAGAGCAGCGTCGGAGCCAGTCCTTGCTCTGGCACGTGCCTGTGGTGAGGGAGAGCAGGAAGCTCAGAGATGATTTTGTGTGGTGTCAAAAAATACCTATGTATATAAAACTATAACACATGGCAGCTGACTGTTGTTTGGGCACTAGTTTTTCACCAGGTCTCTCCAAAGGCAACTAGTGCAAAAGGGTTCTACTTGAAACCACTACACACAGGAAGCTTCAAAAATACCCAGATCCTCTGCAGCATGTGTATGCAGCATACAGTTCAAAATCTCTAAAAATAATAGTAATAAAAAGCTTCCCCAAGCCTGGATCACCTTCAAACTCAAAGGGGCAACCCCAGAGAGTTCAGAACTCGGCCACCTGATGCAACAAAGACTGGGGACAATCACCAATGAAGTGACACTGGGACATCATCAAGGCCTGCAAATGCAAGGGGAGGGGAGGAAGGGATCGTGTCCCACGCCCCGCTTTCCTAAGAGAGACTCACCCTAAAGGGCTGTTAATCAGAACCATGGAAGATATTAGGAAAGCCCATTCAATCTTCAGTCCTGCTTTCCAGGTGTGAGGAGAAGGAGTTTTACATCAAGCCCACGTGGAGCTTGGCAGCCAGCATTTGTGTGCCCTTTTAACCAGTGACAGGTTTAGGAAACGCAGTAACAAACTGCATGGCATCACAGGAGGTGTGCACATGGGGAACTCCAGCAGCAGAGAAGCTGCTGGATCCACTGGTCCTGCTTCAACAGTCAGCATCGCTGCCCCCACCTGCTTCACCACCCTCCCAGACACGAGTGGAGAAGGAGACACTGCCCTGACATTGTCCTTAGGCCTTCCCCTATCCTATCCTCATGGCAGGGAGCAAACCTCCCTCTCTTCAAGCCTTTCTCCTCCTGCTCCTGACTGCAGGCTTCTGGCAGGGGTGCTGAGGAAATGAGGTGCTCTTTGCTCACAATTGCTTCTGAGAAAGTGAATCAAGCACATAGATTAGGATACAAGAGGAAAGGTGAACTCCAGCTGGTAAACCCCCTGTTCTCCCAGCAGAGCAATGGGGGGCAATCTGGGAATGCACAGGTCTGCTGACAGCACGGTAGGCATCAAGCAGGAGAGGAACAGAGAAACTGCAGCCAAGAACACAGAAGCTTGCTCCAACCCCTCCATTTGCTTCCTGCATGAGGGTACGGGGCATTTGATCCACAGTACTTGAGCGTGCTTCCCTGCTCCTACCGTAGACAATTTTAAGCGAGCAAGAGTCATTTCCTGGTCCCTGGATAGATCTACAGAGGGATCATTTTGTTTTTATTTGGCTCCACTAAATACCTAGGGGCCAAACCAAAAACCCAACAAAAGCAAGGGGAAGCTTCTTTTCCCACTCTCATGGATTCTGGGTCCATCCTTGGTAACAATGCAGTTGCTGAAGGGCCTGTGAAATGTGCAGGAGAAACTGCTGCTTGGAAAACTATGAGGGATAACTTGAACCAGAGAGATCATGTCAGGTTTCAAGTCTGCTCCAGTTTGGCCTGGAACAGCTATGGAGATAAAAAGCAAAGGAGTGTACAACATCCCTTCCAGCCTAAGGGCAAAACCTGTGCAGCTCAAAGGGGAAGTCAGTGATGACCAGTGCAGGGAGAGCTACTTGCAAGACCAGGACCTGCTTGGGCAGCTACCTGGTGCAACCCACACCTTTAAGAGGGGCAGCTAGGTCAGTGGGGGACAGGAAACAAGAAGAAAAAGGGTTCTAGTGTTTACGTATCTTCCTTTCCCAAAGAAGGATGAAAGGACCAGAGCTCTACAGATTTCCACCAGCTATCACAGCCAATCCTCAGTCTTGTCAGTAGAAGACAGATGCTCCAGGGAGGCTTCTTGCCACCAGAATCATAGAATCAGAGAAGAATGCAGGTGAGATGGAAAGCTTAGACACCTGGCGATTAGAAAACCCTGCCATTGTGATACAGCAATTCCATCCCTGCTGAGCTTCAACATGTATCAGCTTTGACGGGGAGCAGGGGAGATGCAGGGTGCAGAGGAACAGGACAAAAGTCTTTTTAATCCCCTGCTCACTCAAGTACAGGACTGCACAACCAGGTGAGTAGTGGGTGAGGGCAGATGTTCCTTTCTAAGCATTCAAGGCAATGACTACAGAGAGACCAGTGTCTGGTGTGGTCCTCAGGAATGCTTATCGCTGCATCCTGATCGCACTTCCCAAGGATCACAGAGGCGTTAGTACCAGGGAGCTGGGGGAGAAAACTGTGCCTACATCAACCATTCAGGAAGAGGAATACAGGTCAGGTTATCCAGCTGGAAAAAAACACAAAAACGTTTTTGGCCACAACTCCAGGCTCTGGCCAGTCACAGTCCACACCAAGCTGGGCAGGCGTGGGATGCCAGAGCCCTAAACCCTGGAGCTTTGCTTCAATGGATTCCAGTCAATTGCTGCTGTAAGGAATGGGCTCGAGAACAGAGTCTTGGCCATTCCCCCACCTCCGCACCACTCATCGTGTCCATGCCCACAAAAGCTAATGGGAAGTGCCCATTTCTGCAATCTGCACTCTCTAGGAAGTGATATGACTTGTTTCTGCTTCAATAAATTAAAAAGGAACCACCAAATCAACAGAAGAAAAATGACAGCCTGTGCCAGCAGCTTCCCCTACTAGAATTCATCGTCGGAGCTCAGCAAGAGGGTCTTCTCGTTGTCACGGGCACCCGAGCAGCTGTGGGAACGCGAGATAACGTGGCTACCATTGCGCCAGGGGGGACCATGCTCCAGCGTTGACTGCTGGGTGTACTGCTGGTAGGCTGGGGAGAAGTTGTGGATCGCATCTTGGACAATGTCGTGGGGGTTCATGGTCTCCTTGAGGCTGCTGGAGATGCTCTTCATGGGAGCACAGCGACCTGTTGGGGCAAGATGGGGAGGGACAAGTGAAGAACACTGCTGCCTTCCCCCACACCCCATAACATAAAGGTGAGGAGAACAGGGAACATGCAATCCTACATCCTGGAGACTTCCAGACTTTTCAGACTTCCTTAAGCAGCTGCTGAGGAAATGCCACACAAATTGTCAGGTTTTACCAGTAGTGCTCCTAAATCCAGCCCCTTTTAGCCAAGTGAATCTGCCTCAGAACCACATGGGGGACATTCCATGAGAATGGGATATACCCACAGCAACAACCTCCACTGCGCACTACCTGTGCTGGCTTGGGTGAAGACAGTCAGGTAGGGAGGTGCTCATGTAAAGAGTTTCAGAAGACAAAAACTAAGGAAATTCTAAAAACAAAGGAGAAATGGCATTCACCATTCCTGCTCACTGGAAATTAGACTGATACGCAGTTTTGAGGTGCCCACAGGAAACTGACCATGAAAGTGGAAAGCAGTGGAGGGAGGAGGGAAAGGGGGGAACAGGCAGTACTAGGGGCACTCCACAGCTGGAAGGTGTCACAGGGGTACCATGAAGGAAGCAACAGTTGGAGACTGTCCCACCCAAGTGCTGAGCACAGAGGAAGGCCGTGTGTCCTTCTAAGAGCTGCCATTTCTCTTGGCTTCTAGGTTCCATTTCCAGCATGGGCTTTTGGCTCCGCTCATGCTGGGAATGAGCTCCCGAGATGACCAAAGCATGCTGATCATCTGTGGCAATTATGAAAGTGAAGGGAGGCCAGGGTGAGAGAGCAAACCAGCTCATTCACAGCCCATGCAGCTCTCTGGAGAGACAGTCACATAGTCCTGACAGAAACGCTCTCAACAGGCATTATGCCACTGCCCAGACAACCCTAAAGCAGCTGTGTGAGGCAGTCAAGTTACAGACCTACAAGGAAGGGTAAACAAGGGACAGAGCAGGCAGTAGGCAGGCTGGGAATCAGGGCAGAACAGGATCCAGTTAAAAACCAACGGAGACAAACACATAGGGCATGCTGTACCTACCGTATGGTCCATATGATGGAACAGCTGCATCAGGGACCAGTAGCCAAAGCAAGGGAAAGAGAAAAGGGAGAGGAGAAACAGAGAAAGAGAGAAAGAGAGAGGAAATAACAAGAACTGAACAAGACCCACCACTCAAACATCTCCCACTCTACTGGCCAGTGCTTTACCCTTTCATCATCCACAAATCTCATCTCCCGCAGCTGTGACCACTGTCCTTCCAAAACCTCTGGGGCTGGCTGGGATGAAGGGATCATCTACATTAAGACTGGCCAAGGGCTGCTGTTTTCCCACAGCTCAGTGCAGAGTCTTCCCAGAAGGATGGAATCCCTTTATTTAGAGAATACTGAATGTACTTGTACCACTGGGCATGAAAGCCCCCTTTTCCCAGAGATAACATCCACCTCCCTTTTCCCCAGAATAAGACTTCCAGCAGCCCAGCCCAGACAAAGTCATTACAGGAACATCCTCCTCCTCTGAGCCAAACATGTTGCCAAAGCACAGCCTCATCTTCCTGAACCAGATTCAAAACAGAGCTGTTTCAGGCCCTGTCCCTCCTGCCTTCAGTCTGTTGCACAATCTGAAGCAATGGAGTTCCCCTTTGGGGAGACAGGAAGAAGGACAAGCCCACTCTATGAAAAGGATGCAACTTCTTGCAGCTCTCAGGTCTGCAACAAGCTGTCGTGGGTGGCATACTGGGGAACTGAAAAGGGAACAGTGCAATTCAGACAAGGTTTCTGCCCTGCAGACCTGTTGCACAATGAATCTGTTCAGACACCATAGGAGAGGATGTGATGTTTTCCAAGCATTCGGGTTGGGAGTCATATCACTGTGTTGGCTGTCAGAGGGACCAGTCTCCACCCAGTATTACTACCAAATAGACATGCCATATGCACTGGCATACTTCTTACCTTGGGCATCAAGTCTCTTGTCCACGTACACCTTGTACGTGAAGGCATGGCGCAGGGCGATGGCTGCAAAGAACATCTCTACACAAATGATGAAGTCCTGATATCCAGCAGCTACTGTGCCTTCACCCACAAACACATTGGCAGAGTGGATTTTGGGGATGGCACCACACTTTTCCAAGATGGCCAACAGCATCCCTAAACAAAGCGACAAGCTCATGTAAATGCAGAAAATGTGACTGCATACTAACTGTAAGGAACTGGAATAGCTATCTGTGCTGTATGCCCTAGATCAAACCCATTTAACACAGGAGCTACAAAGCATGCTAGATACTACCACCTACATTCAGATGTACAACAGAGAAAGGAGGAATAAATGAGACAAATATTTTAAGCAGGTTCAGATGCTTCATGTAAAGAATGTTCGAACACTGAAGACACTCTTCTATTCTCAGCTGACGCATAAACTGTGGAATTAGCTGCTGCAGGATGCAACCAAGTCCAAAAGGGTAAGAAGTGGTCAGATATTTCTGTGATCTCAGCTCTTCCACTAGTTAGAGTGGAAAAATGAAGTAACTGAGCTTTTCATTTAAGCATAAAGCATTTTTGACACACCACTGCAAGAAGGATGTTTCTCCCTGTCCATAGCCAGCTGGCTGAAGAATTCCAGAGAAGGCAGAAAGTGTATGACCAGAAGTCTCAAGATGATAAACTAGACAGCTTATTAGTTTGTCTGTAAACAGGGATGATGGGCCATATTCCAACAGCCTAAATTCCACCTAATTTCCTACTCAATTAGTCTTTGAAGTACAACCGAGTAAACCAAAGTAGGGCACTCAACAGGGAAATGCTTAAAGCCAATTAGTAGGAAGCACTAAGCCCAGGTGGAATTTCAGCTTTCTGAATGTGCCTCTGCATCACGCATACATATTCTGAATGCCCTTCCACTCGGTGATGGTTCTGTGGCAGCACACACTGCACTCACATGAATCACAGACATGCCATTAAAATTTTATTTCTAGAGACTAAAAGTACTACAAATTTTTAGATGTGCCACTTTAATCAATCAAATGGCACCATGCAGATAAAATGTTGGCAGCTTGTGTTTTATGATTGTTCCAGTAATGGAAAGGACTCCCCATCCAAACAGCTGATTTTGCAGGCAGATACAAGTGTGCACATGCATAGAGAAAGGGAAGATTCAGAAACAAAGAGGAAAATGAGCAAAACAGGTTTCCCAGAGAAAAGCAATGAAAGACAATAAACCAAACATAGTAATACCAGAAAGACATTCTGGCTGTTAATCACTGTCTGCTCTATCAACTCTAGTGTCCGAGCCCCTGCAGAGAACAATTTGTGCCTACCACAGGAAGGGAAAAGCAGCTCACCTTGCCAGAAGGACAGGAAGATGACAGACTTCACCATGAAGAACTTCAGGACTGGGCTATAGGGACTAAGCAGTTCACGTGTGGCAAAGTAGAAAAGGAACAGGGCATACAGTGCCAGGCTGACAGAGATGTTGTAGATGATCGTCACATAGAGGTAGCCACTGGTTACACTGAAAAGACAAGATAGACAAATGCCTGAGATTTCAGCCTGAGATTTTCCCCTTGCCACTCTCACTGGGGAGTTCTAAGACTCCATTTCCTTCCTGGCTCCCTGTCCCACTCCCTCCCCCAAACACAGGTAAGAAAAACCTGAAGCCAACTGGCTTACCTCTGCCCTCTTTTCTCACGTGAATATTCAGCCTGTGTTGTCCCTCTGTCTTTTCCCAGAGCCCAGCACACACATGGACAATAAGGCCAACTAGACAGAGGAGGTCCAGCTAAGGCTTGCAAGCTAGACAAACAAACTTACTCAAAGTCACCATCCTGGTACTTGCCAAAGGCCTGAAGGATGACTGTGCTGATTGCCATGAGGGGCTTCACCACACAGAACTGCAGGGTAGCCTACAGGAATGAAAGAGAAAAAATGAGAAAGCAGGAGGTGCAAAAAGCCAAGTTCCCAAGCCAGCACCACAATGGAGTGTCCACTGGGACAACTCAGCAAGGCAACACAATCCAGCCTCACCAAGGAGTCTGACCCCACCACTTGCTCATCGATGGGATACTGGGAAGAGAAGCAAACTCCAATCCATGGCTACCATAAAGCTAGGCAAAAAGGTCCCCTGGATGGGATGGAGGGGAATCCAACTCTCTTGAGGAGGCACTTTGACAACTGCCACCATATTAAGGAATTTGTACACACAGCAACATGTGCTGCCAAACAGAAGTTAAGAGCTATTCTGTTGTCACCAACACAACCTTTACTGAATCTCCCCAAAGACTCCATGGCACTTGGGATCAGCTCTATCCATTCTGCCAATATAAATCAGTGCTCCTACTGGGATGACTCCTCTCTCAAAGCCACCCCATTCTTCACCTTTCTGGAGACACTGAACTTCAAGGTCCTAAGAGAGCAGAGAGTTATGACCCCAAAAATGTCACCTGTATCTCCCTGAACTAGGCTGGACAGCCTGGGCAGGTGCTGACCTGTGCACATGTGGGGAGGGCTGTGCATGGAAAGAAGGCAAAACCAAGCATGAATAATTGCTTTGGATACGATGCAATTTGTTAGTGGTCATAAGACTTCAAGGAGATTAAAAACCCCAGCACATGCCAGTTAGTGAGTCACTGTAAATATGTGAACTGGAAAAGGTCAAGCTAATTGGTAAACAACTCTGTCCTCTAAGCTTCCCCTCCTTCCAATCTGGGGATGTTTTAACCATTTCCCTGTAATTCAAACCACCACATCCTATTTTTAGTTGCTTCCCTAGAAGATGCTACAGCATACAGGAAGCACATGGATGGTGTGTGACCCATCTGTGCGGGTTATCAGACACAGGCCCAGCAGAGAATCTTGATCAAGATATCTTGAAGGACACAAGCTGTCCAAATTTTACACCACAGCCTCCAGCACACCACCCAACTGCTGGAGAGCCACAGGCAATGCAGCCAGACTCTGACCCACAGTTCAGAACAGCTTGGGGTAACAGTGAAAGTGGAAAGAAGGAATGGTTATAACAGATTCTTTCAGGATGAAAGGGGCTGGAAAGACCAGAAAATGAGCAGGTGGCAGTGGGAGGCAACAAGAGTCCTGAAGATGCTGAGGATGGATAAAACCGGCAAGGTGCTCCTTCCAGTATATTTCGCTGCCTGATCATAGTGATGGTAGATACTGCACACATCTGCATTGAGATTTGCTCTGCTGCCCTTTGGCACCTGCCTTCCCAAGAAATTGCCTTGATAGGTCTTACTCAGCAATACTGGAAGTACTAGAAAAGTGAGTCTTGGTGTCAAAAATTTCTCACCAAGGTAACATAAACTCGAGTCAAGAGGACAGAAGTATTTAAACATCCCTTTGCAAGACACCTCCCTTACAGCCTCCTCAGCAGACTTAGCAGTTTGCAAAGGGCAGGCCTGACTATAAGAATTGCTGCCAGACAGCAGCAAAAGAAAAGCGAAACATCCACGCAAGCCAGTTACCAGATGAGTTGAGGAATTGCAGGTGACCAGCAGAACCTCCCCCCACCAAAAAAAAAGGTGCTTCTAGTCCTCGCTGTGAGAAAAACTTTCCAAACACAGCCAGTGCAATCCATGTGGAGATAACTGCCAGAGTGAAATGGGAAAGAAGACGCCTAAGGGAAATCATTTCCCCAACACTCATTCAACCTTGATCTGCTTATGACATATTTAAAAGGCAAAAGTTAACATTAGAAGCAAAAAGAACAGGTAAATGCATTGAATCAAAAGGTGTACAAGTGAAGCCAGGGAGAAACAGGTGAAACAGCACCGTGGGAGCAGATTAGAAAATAAAGCATCAAGGAAGAAAACGTAAAAGCCATGAGGACAGAGAATGGGACAGAGAGAAACAGAAGAGAGAAAATAAAGATGTGGTCCTTTGAAAAAGGTCAATTGTGCTGCAGAGATTAACACTGGGTATTACTGTGAGGCTGCATTGTACCTTTGATGTTTCTGCACACTGCTAAAACACAAAAGAAGGGTCTTGATGTGGAGGAGAAGCTGGGGCAGATCTACACCCAGTGACTGGAATTACAATGACCTGAGCCCTTTCAAAGAACCAGACCTGCTTCATGCTGTCTCCACAGAAACCTCATGTGTTCATTCCAGCAAGTGAGCAAAGCCTTGAAACTCACCTGCTGTTTCATGGCAGCCAGAGGTGACTGACCTGGGATGAGCAGACAAGGGCTGTATCGAGGTTTAGATCTCCCCCATTCCCTCCCCCTCAACATACCCAATTCAGCACAGGCAGACACACATGGTGAACAATACTCAGTTCCTCCTACAAAGCACTGTGTCACACTTAACCTCCACCCCCCTCCTCAACTCCAAACCACAACAGCAGCACTGGGAATTCAGGAGGCTGTTACACAACTGTGGGGTGTCTGCAACACAACGCAGCCATCTATTTCTCAAAGCTGGGACCTCTGCAATCCAGTAAAGGAAGAGGAAATCAGATTTTCTTCCCAGGGCTCATATCAGATACAGGAGATAAATTGTGTCTTTTACTGAGGCCTTCCTGACGCAGGATTCAGTGGAAAATAGTACGATCATTCAAAACAAATCAGCTCACAAAACAGCATCTCTCCTCAGCTGTCTTTCAAAACGCTATTAAAACCCCCCTCAAAGAAGTGCTCATCTCAAAAGTTCAGCAGCAAAAGGCACCATTGCCACCCCCAAATTTCATTCACTCCTGGAAGATGGCACAGTTCCTCCTGCCCCTACCTGTTTGCAGAACCTCAGGAATCCAATAGAATAGGTTTTTCCCCACAGGCAGCAAGTCCCATATACACAGCTGGACCTGAAAGGACCAACACAAGATGACAGGTTTCAGAACCAAGATTTGGGCTAGAGTGCAAGATTCCTACCCTCTTTGTCTACCACTCTGTAATGAAGTTGCAGTACTAGTGCTTTCTCCAACCATGACTACAGTTACAGCCATACCCTCTTTCAGAGACGAATTTAAAACAACATCCCAATTCCATACTCTAATCTATTTTATTTATTTATTTAACTGACAGATCCTAGAGGAAGCACACACAACCAACTGAAGACAGAAACTATTTAAAGGAGGAGACAGGAATAAGAAAAGAAACAAAGGAGTAGGCAGGTGCCCAGAAAAGCTGTGAATCAGTTCAGCTTGCCTAAGAGGATGTGATCAGCCTGATCTGTCTCAGACCAGAGCACTGGTACATCACCACCATCCATGCTGCCCAGTCCCAGCAGACACTTGCCACCTGACACAGTTTTTCAGGGCAGAGATAGGCACAGAAGGAGGAGAGTGTCATGCTGCAAGCACAATAAATACTCACTCAATTGGTTTCCCTCTGATCTCAGACATGATGGAGCTCTCCCCTCCCAAGTACTCATAGCAGAGGCTGAGAAAGTTGTATATTACAAAGGCTGCAAAGACATCAATCAGAGCAAAATGACAATCAACTTCAAAACAGGTGCAAGGACCAAGAGTACAGGCAACAGACCAAACATTAGCAGGGACTGCTTATGCAGCATCTTTCCCTTCAAAGCACTGCAGATTATTTTCTCTTCATTTATCACCCTACCTCAGCACTCACAAGACTATTTGAACTGGAGTGTGGCCAAGGTCCCAGGCCAGTTCCATGACTCATGCCAAAAGGGTCACAGGACCATATAACATTTTGGACAGTCTCTGTTTTACTTGGCATCTGTAAGATGCCATTCTTTACTGGGTTCCTGTGCACCATTCCAGGACATTACATGGGTACTAAATAATTTGGAAAAGTTCTCTCTGATTCATCAGACATATCTTATCTCCTATATTTAACCTGTTAGGTGAGGAACACAGTTTCTCTCTCTGAAGTAACCAGACTGTAGACGTAGGAGTTGGAGAAACAGAGGGGTTCTACTAATCAGTGAAACTGTTTTTATGGCTGGCAGAGACTTTTGAAAAACAGCCTCTGTGCTTCATTTCCTCAGAAAGCTGAAATTTCTTGTGCACTGAACAGGCTTCTGGGCCAGCTCCTTTCTGCCTTCTCCAGCAAGCTGGTACAGATGAGGAAGGACTTTTCAGACTGACTGCTAATACTCTGCCCCACTTCGGTCCTCTTCAAGGCTCAATTTTGCTGATATATATAAATTGAGGTGAAGATGCTGTGGGGAGCACTCTCATCAGAACTACGGACAGGTTTCCATTTCACAGGATCCAAACCCACTTAATTGTACTGAATTGTACATGCCCCATCTGCCACTCTCTTGATCTGCTATAATTGCTGTTGGACTATCATAAAGTTGTGAGATTTTTAGGGCAAGGACTGTACTCTTTAAGTTTGCCACATACAGCCTTGGGCCAAAACGGAAGAGCAGGTGACCCTTCTTTCAACATAGTTTTCTATGACAGCCTGTATCTGGAAATTCTCTGGAATGCCAACACCCAAATCCTGGGTTTACCCCCCAGCAATGACATAATACAAAAAGAAAATAACTTGGGATGGAAACAGAAGTCTCGAGGAACTTGGAAATAAGAAAGAAAGCCTAATAAAGTACAGTGCTGAGAAGCTGACCTCACCAAGCAGCTAGTTATTAGACCTGAGGTCAATTTTCCCATGTGGATGGACTTCCAAAGTCAGAGACAGACATCAACTCTAACTCTTCTACAAGCATCCAAACTATGCCCTGGAAAAGAGGTACTTAACACTCCCCAAAACACTCATCATCTCAAAACCTTGTATTTACAGCTTGTACACGTGCCCAGCTGGCAAGAATGCTACAGCACATAAAAGCCAGTGGTATACCTGCTTCTGTCTATGTAATTGGGATATTGTTACGCATCTGTAATCCTTGTGATTGAAGAAAGTTAGGTATGCTCACACAGCAACGATCTTACGAAAGCCCTAATTAGAAGAGAAAACACCAATCATGGAAAACTTATTGAAATAACTGTGATAACTCCTTTTGCCTGCAATTTTCCTACAACTTAGCTGACAGCTTCCAGCACCCAGAGCAAGAAAAGCTGAGCTTTTCCTATTGTCCTCCAGTGACCCCTGCCCTCTGATGTGGTCATTACAATACCAGCTGCCCATTTCACAAGCACTAGGGAATAGATGACAACAGAGGAAGAACATTCCATAACAAAAAAAAAAAAGGAGGGGGAAATATTTGTCCATTCATCTTCAAGAGAAATGAGTGCTAACTATCAAAGCTCACCCCATCAGCAAAAGAACTCTTCTCCAGTCGTGATCCACATTCATCAGATGGTGCTCATGACATCAACATAAGAAAAAACGAATCTACTTTTGTCAGTTACCGACACCCAGACTTGTACAGAAACAGAGTCATGTGAAAGAACATCACCAAAGTCTGCTCCTCCTAATGCATGCTATGAAATGCCCCTAAATGGCCCAAGATAGGTTTTAAAATGTATTAGTAGGGTCTTCTGCCCCATTCCCTAACAGAGCTCCTCCCTGCTTCGCAATCTAAAATCCTCCCCACAAAAGAAAGGATGAGATGGATGGCAAAGGAGGGAAGAGAACAAAAAGGCTGTTTTAAAGCAATCTCCAGAAAAAGGAAGGGAGAGAACCTGCTGACCAAAGGTGCTTTCGCCTCCACCTGTAGCCTTCTTGCACAGCCCAACATGCTGAGGGGAACTCCAGAGCAACGGCTGCTTCCTGAGCAGATGCTCAGATGTTTGCAAACTCCCTGAGGCAGAGGGATACTGGCTGTTGCTAGGAGAGGAGTTTGGCAGAGCAGCAGCTTCCTGCTAGACCTGCACACGCATGCAGAGCAGGGAACGAAAAAACACAGGCCCAAACAAAGATGCCTTCTGAATCACGTGTGTGCATCTGCCATCTGGTGCTGCATCTCAGAGCACTGTCATGGATGTGAAGGAGGGCCTGCTGGTCCCTTCAGTTGATTAACTTGTTCACATGGCTGGGGCACCTCTCTGCAATGCAGATCTCACCACAGCAACTGCACCAATGAAACATGATTTAATGAGGGTATAGTGATAAACTGTCCTCAAAAATACACTGCCAGAATACAGTTTCTCCTCCTGGGTGGGCAGAAGCTTCTTTCTGGATGAGGTCAAGAAGGAAATGTAGACAGCATTTATTGGAGAGTAACCATTTCCCTTGCATACAACAGTTGTGTTATCTGCTGCAGATAACCAAAACCACAGCAACGAGTAACTCATCCTGAACATGGCACCCTCTCTCCTGCAGGACTCCAAAGCACTTTACACCCCACGAACCCCAGCATGTGGTGGCTGTGATACCCTGCATGAGCACACAAGTGGCCACAGGATGGGACCAGAAGAATACATTGCTAACAAACTGCACCAAGAAAACAGAACACAGCAAGTGTCTGACTGCTGATTAAGTGCTGTTAGAAAGAGCTAACTGATAAATTGCTTTATAGCAGGTAGAATCAGATTTCTGGCTCCACACCTTCCTGAAGCAAAGGAAAATCATAAACTTTGTCTCTACAGAACACTGGAGAAAAGGCTCAATGCATCTTATCATGCTCACAGCCAGTGAGAAGAAGATCAGGTTAGATGGGGATTTCAACAACCTGGTCTAGTGAAAGATGTCCCAGCCCATAGCATGCGGGTTGCACTAAGATGATCTTTCAAGGTCCTTCCCGACCCAAAGCATCCTATGATTCTGTGACTTTCAGGCACTGAGCAAGACATGTCATCTAGTGAGGCACCCTGTAAAACTTTGTCTCAGTAGGTGACAGTGATGCTTCTAAATGTCCCCAGCTAGAAGCAAAAATTCTCTCAAGGCAGAGACTTCCCACCTCCCCCATTTTCTGTCTGACCCCTTTTTACCTTCATAGCAGTCCCGCACTGTGCCAAAGTAAACATAGTACTGGTCATTGGTGAAGAACAGCAGACTGAGCCATGAGTCAAAGGCATAAATGGGCACAATGAAGAGGATCCGAACAATGTAGCGCTGTTCATTTGGGCAGCTGTAGCAGCGAAGGTGCATGTAGATCTGAGAGAAGGGAGAGGGGAGACCAGGATCAGCAGGATATGGAGTAGAGAGGAGAAAGTAAAACTGCAGAGTCAACTGGGCAAGGAAAAACAAACTCAATAACTCACCTCTTGATGGCCTCAAAGTAATAATATAAAATTAAAACCAAATCACCATTATCACACGATATTAATACAGTACCCCTTAGTTTGCAGAGGGAAGAAAAGGAAGTGGAGGCATTTCTAACCTAGTCACTTATAGGGAATTAATTTACTGTTGTTATCATCACCTTGCCCATATTCTTTTGTTCATACCTTTTCTCCCCAGTTCTCAGCCCTATATTCCTGCTAACCTGTTTGAAGTACCTAAAGATTTATATCACTGCAGGCTGTTTTTCCCTGAAGAGGGAAGCTTAAGTCCATGCTCATTCTAAACACTCTCTCTTGGCAGCTTTGGATGCTTTCAAGACTTTCACCTGAAACAACCTAAGAGATCCCTTCACAGCACTGCCAAGAGCTGATAAGCCACAACCCATCTTGGCTCCAGAAGTGCCATTCTGCACATCGGTGACAGCACAGCCACAACGTGTCAGCCAACAAGGGAGCACCGAGCTCACCCAGCATGCTCAAAGGAACCATGCAGACACACCGCTTGCTTTGTCCCACAGTTTGCACACATGCCAATCGCTGTAAGTCACTGGCTGCAAGGAGCACACTGTCCCCACCCTACCACTGCTCACAGTTTGTTAGCCATCATTAAACTCACACCTAAGATGCTTTCTCACAGACTACCCACCTCCTGGAAAAGGTATTGACCACAAACATACCCTGAAGATGAGCACTACTCTGGCCTAGTAACATGGCCAGAGCTTCAGCCAGAGTTGTGAGTACACTCTGTCTACCACAGTGAAGCAGAGGGCACATTCTCCAGAGACAAGGCCTCCATATGCAACCCTCACCAAGCTGCTGCCCCAGCGGCTGGCCTTAACAGCTAGTTTATGACGTACATGCCTCATGACTGACTGACTTTGCTGCCTGAAGAAGCATAAGCATTTGCTTGAAGCTTCACCTTACATTTGGGGGTGCTGTGAGGATTCTCCAAGGTCTAAAACAAAGCATACACTAATGATCTCACCTTTCCTTGGAAAGCGAGAGCAAGTTCTCTCTCCCTAGCTACTTGCTGCTCATCTCTCCTTGCCTCTTGGGCAGATTTGGTCAAAATCAGCTGAAGGGCTACAAATACATCTGTTTCCTCTCCCTAACCCATGAGGAGCTCAAAAAAGTCTCGTTTCCTGAGAATAACAGGTTGGAAATAAACTAACAGACCTTAGGGGTATTTTTTCCTTGTGACAATCCCAGTGACACATCTGACCCAGCACAAGGATAGCTGACACCGGAGTTCAGATGACTCCAAGCTTTGCCCTTGGGATGTCACAAGAGCCCTGTGATCCGGGTGCCTACAAAAGCACAAGAACTGCTGCCTTGGAAGAGGACAACAGTGTGTTTCAATCAACAGCGTCTCTCTGGCACTGACCTGCATTGGTTTCTGCAGAGAAGAGCATTAATGCCTAACTTTGCAATGCTATACCCCCAGGAAAGACTTCTTCCTACCCTCAGCAGGTGGTCAATTTGACAGGAGGATCCATGGCACCTGTAATCGGTACCCAAGCTGGTGAAACTGCAGGTGTTAGTCTTATTCATCAGCGACTAATGCATTTTTGAACTTCACTAGCCCCTGTATTCCATGAATAGGCTGCAGTTTTCTAGACCCTAGTCATCACTCTGGAATCTACGGACCAACAGGTACAAAACACAGGTTGATAAATAACAGGGTTTGCATTTCCCCCCTGTGTTTTTCAGTTCACATGATGACCGCATGAAAGAGAGGTATGGAACAGGATACAGGGTTTGACTTGCTCTGGCTCCCAGGACACCTGCCCCAGAAAGAGGGGAGGGGAGAAAAGTTAAATAAAACATTTCCTGCTACTCCTTTCCGCAGCAGAGTTCAGCCTGTGGAATCCACTGGCACAGGAGATCAAAGGAGGTATGTCAAACAACAGATGGCCACAGTCATTTACCTAGCAGCTGACACAATAACAAAATGGCTAGATTCAGCTACTAGACCTGGGAAAGGATGGCTTGAGATAACATACCTTTCTGCAAACACTCAAAAGATGGCCAAATGTTTTACTAGTTTTAAAGAGTTTGCTTCCTCTCCATTTACACTACAGAGAAGCAGCAAACTGTCTGAATCTGGGCAAAAAAAGGCCCATATAAAAGTTGCAACCTTGATCAGCACAGATAATATATTAGACCCAAAAGAAGAGGTCCTGGTACCACTCCAGAGACTGAAAACCCCCATCACACAGCTGAATGTGGGAGGGATATGCCACGGGATCATATGTGTTCTTCAATATGTGTGGGGAAAAGAAAAGGATGAGAAGCGTGAGTGACAGGGTTTACCTGATGGCAGGTGATGAGCAAAGCTGTCCATACAAAGAAACCTGAGATTGCCTGAGCAGCAGTGGTCATGAGGAATATTGGCTGCTCCACAGCCGTGGGGCTGCCATCCTCTGGCATCCAGGAGAAGTTGGGAGCCACAGCTGGAGTGGTGGCAGTTGACCCCAATCCGGGGGCTGCAGTGACGTCAGTCATCACCATCATGGTGTCTTTTGGTGTGAGGTTCCAGTTAGGATTGCTAAAGAGCACCCACAAGCCAAAATCTGTCAAGGAAGAGGAAAAAAAAAAGCAATTGAACCCAGCTGAAAGGACTCAGGAGCTTAACAGTAACAGCACTTTGCATGTCTCACATGCCTTTCACCAGGCTGCTCACATGCTTTACAAACAGGACCCGGGTAAGTCTGCCAGTGCCACCCCTCGTGATACAACAAATCATGCGGTCCTCAGGAACCTCTCACAACACAGCCTCCCCAAGACCATAAAACACTGCCACCACCACTGTCACTACCCTTCTGCAATAAGAATATTTAAGAACAAGATGAATACAGCATTCACCTAAGATCAGAAGGAAATATCTAAATCATCCGTACTGGAAGATGACAGGCACACCTAACTTAGCAGCTCTACTTCCCACAAAAGCACTAGCTATTCTGCTCTGTTCTAGTCTAGTTTGCCAGTCTTATAGCTTCATTTGGAAGGCAACAGAACAAGCAGCAGCAGGCAACAAGAAGAGGCACCACAAAGTGTTACTGTGCAGCAAGGATGAAAGAAGAATCTCCTTATTCCTCCAGCAAGGAATCCCCACCTCTCCTACTGCCATTTTTAAACCCAACTCAGCCCAAAGCACCTTCATTGGAAGGACAGGCACTGAAAGCTCTTCTCACAAGAAAAAAGAGCATGAAAGGTAATGTTTATACCAAACACTGTATGGCATGGTAAACTTAGCCAACCTGTCACTAATTCTATTAACTCAGCATGGTTTTCTACATGACATGAACTTAACCTGATTAGCCTTTAAAAGCCATCTGATCCATGAAAATATCAGCCAGAACACAAGGATATGCAAGACTTCAAAGTAACATGACCCTTGGTCATTTCCTGGATGAAAAGCTATTTTCTTTCAATGGAACAAATTATTGAAGGCCTAAGATCTAAAGCAGCCATGGTTTTCAATTTGGTTGTAAGCAGGCTCTAATGTGACCTCTGGACTGGAGGAAGATAATCCACTTAAACCAAGATCACAAGCAGGCAGCCATTGGTTCTAGCCACCAGAAGAGCTGCTTCTGATGCAGTTCTAGTAAAGACATGGTTATCAAGGGGAACAGCGTAATATTGCCTCCTTCTGATAACCTCCTAATAGTTTTTGGGATAGCCTTTCTGTAGAAGTGCAAGATGTAGCTCCTACATAGGCCTTTCAGATCAGCAGATGGAAAGGGCTTTAGAATTGCCAACGATCCATCGCCACAGTTTACAGCTGCAACAGGGAAGGGGATGTCTGTCACTTACTGACAGGTCCCATCAGAACATGGAAGAGAACATACATCCACAGATGAACTGCCACAGCCTCGTTTCACCTGAAGCCACAGCACAAATCAGGGAACAGGCACCCAGTAAAAGCAGAGGGCCAGGAGCAAATCATTTCCACATGCACACTACAGTGGGCAAACGGCCCCTCCAGCACATCCTCTTCCAAACCACACACTTGCTCCAGCAGTGCACAGCACTCTGATTTTACTTAGGCCACATTCCATCTCATTTCTGCTTTCTCCCACAGGGGAAAGAGAACAAATACAAATCCTGTGAATTACCCAGATTTGCTTAAGCAGATACTATCTTACTATAGAGGGAGTCGCACAACTGTTATGCTTTAATTTACAAAAAAATCAAAAAATCAAACTTGGCTTTTCTTTGTTCTTTCCAGTCATTCTTTTTCCAAAATATCCCTGCTCTCAGTTACAGCTTTCCATAACTGCACGTACTGAAGGGTAATTCAGTTACAGTCCTAATCAGTACAGGAAAAGTAACTGTTAAGTTTTGAGTTTCAAAGCACATGCACACACATTACATACCATACCTAAAAATTCAGAAAGCTCAAGGATGGATGGAGACGTTGCAAGGTAGCAAGGTTTTTACTGCTTTGAGAAGAACAAGATTTCTACCCAAGTCACTTCTGAAGAGGCTGAACACTCAACAGTGCTGAGTGCTTCCACTGACCTCACAAAGGACAGTGAAAGAAAATGAAATCAGAGCTGATGCACATGCGGTTAACCTAGCTCTAATTAGAGTCCAGTCAGCTGCAGTCCTGCACATCCCACTGCACTTTGGGAGCTATGCAAGGGAAGAAGCTGCTATGCCCTTTCTAAAGTTCATAGCAGAGAGGATCACTACTGCAGCCCACCAGTGGCAGGAGGGACCAGACCTGAAGCTCCATGGTCCAGCTAATCAAACCACACTGACAGCACAGACTCAAATGCAGGGCTGGCAACATCAGCAGAGCTGAAGATCTGAAACAGAATTCTTCTGCTTCTCTGCACTCATTTTAAAAGAGGCTGAAACAACAAAAAGTGAGCAACAAGCATTCTGATGTGACAAGGGTTGTTTTCAGAAGCAAGGACACTCACAAGTGTAACCTTAACACTGCCCCCTTGTGATTAGACATCAACTGTCACCAATTCCAGGACTATGCATCTTTCCCTGCCGGCTCACAGTCATTGAAACTAGTAACTCTTTCCAGCACGGTGTTCTGAAAGAAAATATACAACCTCTATTAACCAGGTCTCCACTTCTCATACCCCAAACCCCAATACAACTCAGCCATGAGCACCCCCTATTCCTCAGGGTTGTCCCTGAGGACAACTTTTCAATGGCTTGATACTTTTTACTGGTTGCAAGAATCAGCTTGCAGTTCATTTTCCTTGCTAGTGAAACGTGAAGGAACGCTGAACTCCCAAATCTGCAAAATAACATACACCTTCCCAATTATCCCTTCTAATCTCCTAAAGTCCCACACACCACTGCTACAGTGACAAGTATAGGCAGTGCTCAAAGCTATTATGAAAGATTACTGAATGCAAGATGCTGAAGCTGTAAGAGCAATTCTGTACTATACTTAAAAAACAGGCAATAGCACAGATGACTGGAGCCTTAACCAGGTGGGTGGATTTCGACCCATTCACCACCAGCAGCTCAGAATCTGCTTGCTCCTCTTTTTTCTTTTCAAAAAGACCATCATAAAGGAAGGCTATGGCAACTGTCTTATTAGGCCTTGTTTCCAAGATGCCTCCTCCCCACAGGACACAAACCCAACACATCATTAGAACAGGCTTCCAGCAGAGGTGGTGCCTGGGAGCACATCACAGTTAACATGCTGCCTTGACAAGCTACATATTAGGCATCCCAGTGTAAGCAGGTTCCTTCTTACCTGACACAGCAAATGCGTCTTGATACTTGTTTCTTGGATACCTACCAGCATCACAATCCCTGTCAGTCAACACATACCTTCCTGCTTCCTCTCATGCCTGGGGAAAAGGGTCCTTTCCAACAACCACAAAGCTATTTCATATTCACCTCAATTTTCTCCATTTTGCTACTCCAGCTGTGCAACAACCTGATAACAGTTACAGCTGTGAGCTCTTCTCTGTGTACTCCCCCCAGCTGCCTGTATTTCTCTGTTGTTTCTTGCGCATTTTAAGCTCCTCGGGACAACCATCTTTTTGTTCTCTGCCCGTACAGTTCCCAGCACTGCGAGGCACCAAACCATGAGGAAGGCACTTGACATCGCCATATGGAAAATTAGGGGCATTCAGAAACCTGAATTATCAATGCAGTACAAACCAATGTAATGCATAACAAATTCTCTTTTGCCATATCCTGCTTTCTCCGCTCATCACTTTCACCTCCATCTCACTGATTCCATTTCAAGGGACAGTATAGTTACCTGCACACTTAGTCTCCCTCTCTGGAGGCCTTGCCTAAATACATCATATGAAAACATTTCAACATCACTCTTGAAGCTTTCCTCATCTCCAACTGACAACCTTGCTGCCCATGGAGGTAACCTGCAACACAGCAAGTCCCAAAACGGGACCAGGAGAAAGGATAGCCAGGAAAAGCACCAAGCTGAAAACATGCATACAGAAAAGCACATCTGGGTAAACACACAGGGCTTTCAGACACAGGCTTCGGTGTATTTCAGGATGGCTGCAGGAACCTGGCTCAGCTGGTATGACTCCTCTACGTGGGCTACATGAGCTTCAGGCAATACTTAGGCCTGCGTGAAGTCTATACCAACAACCCCAAACCTGGAAGGGAGAGATGACACCTCCATCCCCAGTGAGCTGTTACGTTTTTTCACCCAGATGCCACTACAAGTTATGCACATTAGGGCAAGATAAGACCCTGTACTGATACAGGGCATTAGCTTAACCATCAACCCAGTACTGGCTTAAACTTACCAAACAGATTTTCTGAAAGCACTTTAGCAGTATTAGGGCCTGCTCTCAATGCAAGGAGAGAAAAGAAAATAAAGCCAAGTATGTGCAGTTTCACAGAATTACTGACTAGTTTGGGGTGGAAGGGACCTTAAAGCTCATCCAGTTCCAACCCCCTGCCACGGGCAGGGACACCTTCCACTAGACCAGGTTGCTCCAGGCTCCATCCAACCTGACCTTGAACACTGCCAGGGATGGGGCAGCCACAGCTTCTCTTGGCAGCCTGTGCCAGTGCCTCACCACCCTCTCAAGGAAGAACTTCTTCCTAACGTCTAATCTAAATCTACCCTCCTTCAGTTTAAAGCCATTCCCCCTTGTCCTGACACTACCTCCCCTTGTAAAAAGTCCCCCTCCAGATTTCCTATAGGCCCCCTTTAGTTACTGGAAGTCTGTTACAAGGTCTCCCTGGAGCCTTCTCTTTCCCAGGCTGAACAAGCCCAGCTCTCTCAGCCTGCCTCCATGGGAGATTTGCATCAAGATAACTATCCTGATGAAAAACTAGAGACACAGAACACTGTTACTGAGATTTCTGACAGGGAAGGGGCTCCAGACTGCATGGGGACCAGTTTTGTTAGAGACACCACACCTGTGTAAAACTAGCAGGGATGTGTCCACAGGGCCTGCATTCACAGAAAAACAGCAGCACACTAAGTCTTGATAAGGAGCAGATTGCCATTCTTGTATCTTCTGGAAACAGAGGCCTTCTGTCTTTAACATTAACATGGCAGCTTCTTCCACCAAAAATAAACTCGGAACAGTAAACAGATGGGACGTGGCA